CGTCTAGCTCCGCCACTGCTTGTAGTGTGTTGCGAATTGTATGGACACGAGCCAGAAGCCACAGACCATGTAAACTTACTAATTTCGGGCAGCCATACACATACATGGAAAAATCCCACAATCCAAAACAAATATATAAAAGGGGGGTAAAATGAACGACGCACACCCTAGGCCGCGAAACGAACGAGCCAACGCGGCAAGACAACAACGCACGGTACACTAATAAGAAAATAAAAGCACGAATCTTAAGGGCTTAGATTCAACGGTGGTAAACTTGGACGTGAGTGAGCTGATTCTCATCTAGAGCAAATCCGTATCCTAAATTTGTTGCAATCAGTACGCTTGGATGCACTGTCTTGCCTCAGACTCCGGCTATGATTGTGTGCTCTGACAGCTTATTCCTTTTATTTTCTTTGACTTCTTTTTTTCTTTGAGGGAGTGCGCTCTGACAGCCTCAATACACTAGAAAATAGAGATCGTCTCTCCACGGACAATGTTTTGCTGAACACGATTGCTAATCCAACCGCCTTCTGCTGTTTAAACATGTCCATGGATGGTGTGATATAGCTTGTCGTGCAAATTTCGGCTGGCGATTGTCGTCCGCATAGCAGTGCTCTTTCTTTCAAAATATATGTTGCTAACGTTGTTTATTTTCTCTAAATAAAAGTTGGGCTGTGCTACGCATCGGCTGGTGGATTAGTTAAAAACATCCGTTGCCTGGCTGGCCGCTGGATGGACACTGCTGGTCGTCCAATTAATGTACCACCCATGCTCCCCGCCTCCCTTCTGCAACAAGTGCGGTGTTGCAGAAACAAGGGCCGTGCTATGCGTCCGTCGGTTGAAGTTCGGGAAGGTTCGACCACCTCCCACGCCGTTAGATCTCACCACGTGAGCGTTACAAATTGCAACAAGCTAGTTGTTACGCCCATCCCTCTGCAACAACGACTTTATTGCAAACCACTCTGAAGAGTTATCGTGTGACTTCACGAATGGCAACAAGTTGATTGTTGCTGAAACAAAAACTCTGTGTGGAGACGTGATGTAACTTTTGCAACAATGATATTGTTGCAAAAATTTTGCAACTGTGGTGATGTTGCAAAAAAAATTGTCTCCACTTTTATGCAACAAAGGTAATGTTGCAGAATTTTTTTGCCTTCACATACATGCACTGTAGGTGATGTTGAGCAAGTTTTGCAACATTACTGATGTTGCGGAATTTATTTGCAATGAATAGGGTGTTGCGGGAGCAAGTTTTGCAACATTACTGATGTTGCGGAATTTATTTACAATGAATAGGGTTGGCCCAGTTAGTAGGGACTAGGCACGTGCACCAAGTCTTCATGCAAGTCACGCGCCCTCACAATCCAATGGACCAATGGGTTGCGATCTGACGGCCATGCGAGCGACGGATGCAGCAAAAAAGATCGGCCAATTGATTAGAAGCTTTTTCCATAAAAGCTGCTTATCTAGATTAGTTTTTTTAGTGTAGTGGTTGGCCAAGAAGGCTTCTCTTTTGGAAATCAAACACTAGGATTCCATCCATGCCTCACACCGGCTCAGCAAGACCCCTGGTCCTCATGGCACTTAAGCACATCATCTGGGAGTGCTTCAGCCCCGAAAGCAGCCAAAGAGCACTCTAACTTATTACATGCCTTTTTCTAAAAATTGTACCCCACCATTGTTTCCCAGTAAAAATAATAATTAAAGCCAGGCCAACAAACAGTAACATGCCACGAGTTGAGCAATCTGATAATTTATCAAACCTTGAAATAACCAATCTGTTTTCTATACTTTGAAAGTGTAGGACGGGGGCCTAAATTAAATACCTCATGATCAAACAAGATTACCAAATTGACCACCGTCTGTATGACTAAAATGAGATATCTGGACCCAATAAAATCCTGGGCAGACCTTTTTGATCCCATTAAGACACGGTGCGCAACTGAACGCCACCAATCAAAGCAAAGACAGGAAGCCATATTTGAGTAAAACATTAAAATAAATTAAGCAAAATTTGAGACCATGGTAGCCACAGGGGCGTCCTTTTCATGTAAAGACCCAAGTATCCTTTTTTCTTTTCTTTTCTGAAACAAGGATAAGCCACAAGAAGTATAAAAAAAGAAGACAACCTATTCTTTCTGAGCACCACAGGTGCACAACTATGTGCATCCAACACCGTACATGCCTGTTTCATTCGGCATTCCTTCCGGGAAAATGAAGAAAACCCTCAAACCTCTTTTCAGCACGGAAAAACATCAATCACAGAGCTGAAGTTAACGGGAAAATATCTCGACTTGCTAAGCTAATCACCCCATGAGAGTTGAGGTAGTTACCCAAACTCATCATGGTACAGCTTGATCTCCAAAGGTTCCAAGCATGGTTGACAACCCCAGTAATTTTGGTTGCTGTGTCATGTCATTAGCCCCTGCATTCCTCAAGCTTCTGCTGCAGCCTCACGTTGTGCCTTAACTAAAAAGTAGTAGGAGATGTGTTAAAAAGCAGTAAATGATAGGCACAGATGGTAGAAACAAGTGTGTGTGCATTCCTGATGTGCATTACCAGAAACTTAAATGATAAAAAAGTGTATGCACTATCACGTAAATGGTAAAAAAAACTCAAAACATCTACCAAATCCTGAATCTCACAATTTATAGTAAAACAAAAATACTAGGATTTCATTTCCACTTCAACTGACAAATGGTTTTGTTTATTGCTAAACCCCATAATTATTCGGCATGCCTCATCAGAAGTTCATTGATAGTGACACCCAATACTTGCATGGCAAACCACGACAATTATGCATTTTGCTGACACTGCAAGTCACATTAAATGGGTTAAGGAATTACTAAAATCGAAATGAAAGTATTTGGAGCTGTTTTTGGCAAAACTGAAAGAGCGGGGACAACAAAACTATGAGTACTTGATGGAGACTTATGAAATTTATTATAAAAAATAAACAAGTGAATTGTGTATTAAAAAGGAAAATAGTGTTGATGACCCAAAAAGTTACGAGTACTTCATTGAGAGTTATGAAATTTATTAATTAAAAAACTAAACATGGGAATTGATTATTGAAAGCCAAATAATGTTGATAAACTAGTAGAGTAAGAAACATAACAGAACTTACACAATCAGCGATCTCTTCCTGTTTCAGTGGAGGAACTACTTCGTCTTGTTTCCAGCCAAGAGATTTAAGGAAAGCCATTTCTTCTGGACTTGGTTCGTCTTCGGTAGGATACGATTCCTCTTGCCCTGCTACAATGGGCTCAGACAACAAAAGGGCTTCGTCATATCTAGAGTCTGACCTCGCTGAAACATCAGTTGTATCTGTGGGTATAATGGACAGACTAGCTTTAGCTTCATCTTCAGCATCAACAGGATCTGATGAAGAGTTGGCGTCCTTGTTGTCAGCTACAATCTCATGCAACCCCTCATAAAAAGCATCATGAGGCTCTGAAGGTGGCTTGATTTCCTCATTGTCGGAGAGGTGTCGCTGAGATCCATCACAAGAATTTGCATCCTCACATGAACTACTTCCAGTTTCAATACACTTGATTCCACTGTTGAACAAGGACAAATCAACAGAGGGGTTCTTCTGCTCATCAACCAAGCTAGATGAGGACTCGATACGAGCGCTTGAACCATTTAAAGATTTGCTCCGCAGTAACTCAAAGAATTTATGCTTTGATTTTGCAATTGATGTCCTCTCACCAGATGAACCTTGTTGTACATGCAAAGGGGGGCCGTTTACGACACCTTTAAGCTTATGGTTGACATTAGACCTTTCCAGTGGTTCCACTGAAGAAGATTGACCTAGAACAGGGCTCACAGGATTGCTGGAGCAGTCTTTGGCAGTATTTGCAGCACCATTCTGCTCGCGGGTCAGGACTTGAAAGCTTCCTGATTGAGATGGCTTTACAGGCTCAGATTTGACTGGAGTACGAACAGAGCTGTTAGAAGGCTGTGTTGACAGTTGTGGCGCAGTCTTCACAGGACCATTAGAATCCCCGGCTCTTGCACCTCTAATTTTTAACTTATCCGACAAACTTGATATCTGCACAGCATTCTGAATGAATCAGTGCAAACCAAAATGCTGGTTCTTTAGTATAACACATCACTCCATAAACAAGTGAAACAGAAATACAGCTTTAGGAAGCACATGCAAGTTCGAAAATGTCTGCATCCTAGTAAGGATTGGAATTACAATTTTATGTAAAAATAAACTGCAATGTCCCACAAAATGCAGACATGTTCACATGTCTAAACAAACTATGTTCCATTTTATCGATTGCATGCTTAATGACCCAATGCTGATCAAGTAATATACGACAGTGAAGTGTACTCAGACAAATAGGAAAAAACGCAAGAATCACACTACCAGTGAAAGTTTTGTCAGAACGAAACTCCATCTATGTAAGAGATATTTCATGTGCTTTAAGTTTTTTATTTGTCCATTGTATAGTTAGTAAAGCACTAACTTAGATCAATACAATCCATAATCCTGTGCTATAAAATAAAGTTTCTAACCTAACAGTGATTGGTGGACCTACATGTGTCATAAATTTGTTCAGGTCCAAACTGCAGAGTTAAATAACAGATGTAGGAAAATATTGAGGATGATAGTTTATTAAAACAGAAAAATGCATACTTCACAATATTCGACAAAGTATCTTCAAACTACCAACCAACACAATACGCTTACTTAGAACACAAGATGCATTGCATTTACATAAATTGTTATGGTAGAAAGACACCAGTCCTTAACAATGCTCAGATAATTGCCAAAATCTGCTTAATGGATACTTGCAGTTTGCAAAGAACATGAAACAACTGAACCAATCTATGGCCATATCTTCAACTAATTTGAATGCAATCACTAATAACATACATAATTTAGTATCATTGCAGGAGCAGATTCCTCCCGTAGGAACAAATGATGTGGATGATCCACTAATGACAGTCATATTCAAATAAAGTCACTGGTAATAACACAACCATGGTAATAACACAAGCAGCAAACAACAAAACAAGAAATATTCATATTGCGACAAAGGCACATACAGATGTTTTGTTTGATGAAGGCGTCAGAGGTCGTAGCCTCATAGTTCTTTCTTCAATCTTTTGAGCATCTACAGATAGCTGGGTAAAAAAGTTGCACACAAGACACTATTTAGATCAAGTGACTAGAACGAAATATGATTACAGACCAAAGAAAGAAAAAACACGGATATCATATTCATTATAGATTGCACTACCTGGGGTGTGGTGGAAACTTTTAATGGTGCTTGCATTACTGTTTCAGCCATGCTTAATGCCGTTCCGCAGCTCGACACTTCAGGCTGCCTACCGGAACCAGCATGTGATAAACCAGAAGAAACATAGTTATTGCTTGGCTCACTAAGTCCAGGAACTTCTGCTAGCACCGAGTTCCAGCCATCAGGTGCAGTAACCAATGGTATGCTCTGAAGCGGGGTGCTAATTCCAGGAGATGGAACTCTACCAATATCTTGCTTCCCATCGTTATCCTCAGAACTAAGGTGTGGAAATTCTCGCTCAAAGGAGATACCAGCAGCATCCTTTCTAGATAGATTACCATTTTCCAAACTTACTCCAGCTGTCCGAGTCGATGTGTCCAGCTTTGGACGAACACGACTGAGCCTATCGCTTTCAGGTCTGCAAGAGCTAAAGGACCCAAAGCCATCACGCAAAGGGCCATCTGGAAGACCCAACCTACTCTCCCAATCATGGAAATCAGAGTCCTTTTCACACACCCTGTCTCTGTTGCTTCTTCCAAAACTGGCATAGCCTCTTGACTTCACTGTGCCATCCCGATCATGCCGTCTGGACACACTTGGGCCAGAACCCCTACGTGAAGAGGACTGTTGGGAGCTCCGTTCACGATCACGAACTGTTGATCGGTTTCTTGATGAAGCACCCCTGTCTTGATCACCTAAAGCATCAAACAACAACTTCTTAGCAAAATGCTGTGAATTTGCAAGCACAAAAGAATAGTCAATTCAAAGTGGTCCATATATGATCAGTTAAACCATGAAACAGCACACCAAACCACAAAGATAGTGCCAACAACAATGATTGGTAACTGAACAATTGAACATCAATCCTTACTAAGTGCAAAGTACAAGAACAAAATAAATCAAAAGTATTAATGTAACAGTATTAAATAAAAAGATGCAGTGACAATGTAATATACATTGTACAGTATGATCAGTATCTCATTGTCGCAAATAACACACAGGTCACAAAAGGCAAAAAATATGATCTTGACAGTCTTACTAGCACATCAACAGAAGAAAACAATAATAAAATACTGTCTTCAACAAACTTCTTGTAACTAGAAGAGTATGCAGCGCAGGAAGCCTCTGCGCCTGGAATCCGCAATTCCATTTGCACGGATGAAGCTTAGGATCTTGTATCCTTTGTGTCCCTGTAGGACGAGTCTAGTGCATGCAGTAACTCCCGGCACCTATCCTGCCTCTGAGTGGATCCCGATCTACAACCCCAGACTGAGCCGCCAGGCCAAAGTGAATAATGTGAAATAGTGTCATGGAACTCTTGGTGACATTTTTTTAAATTTCAGCACTTGTGTAAGTGCAGTGAGGTTGCCAAGAAATGCTGAAGTGAAAAATAAGTTTAGCTAATTATGTATATACATTTCAAATAATTTAGTTTAATTCGTCCAACATTAGCTTCATTTATACTTCCTCCGTCCCAAAATAAGTAACTCAACTTTGGACTAACTTTAGTACAAAATTAGTACGAAGTTGAGTCACTTATTTTGGGACGGAGGGAGTATATGCTAGTCTGCAAATCAAAGCAGGTTATGGTAAGAAGGACCGGACTGCATTTGCTTCTTACCCGCACATATTGCTACTAGCCTAATATGGCTCTAGTGCTACCAGTACACTGCATTGAACAACTAGCTTAGGAAGATCAGCGACCACGCCTGTCCGCTGTATCAAGAAAAGAATATTATATATTGCTAAAAATGTGTTGCCTACCACCCTACCCCTTTCAAAACTAGTGGTATCACTGTGTATATATTTGTGTACACAAAAAAGGGAATTACATTCTACTATCTATTGCCAAGTACTCCCTCCGTAAAGAAATATAAGAGCGTTTGGATCACTAAAGTAGTGACCTAAACGCTCTTATAAATCTTTACAGAGGGAGTATATACAAAGATTCACAAAAATGCAAGCCATGAGAATAGTCTCAGTATATCAACTACGTGTCATACCTCTCCAAGAATTTATTAATATGTGCTTCTGGCTAATCCTGCTGTATTCCCTAGCAAAACTGGCGCTACGAGGACTGCTGCATTATAGCAACATGGCTAACAAACATAAAACTGTAAATTTTCCCATCCAATAAAGTCTCTGAGGTAACTCACATTAAATCATGTATTCATGTCCGAGTAAAATAATATCTAATTTAACAGAACTTACTGCAGTTAAAACGGCACACAGACTGATAATCATTAGTTTAACAAGCACCGACACGATGCTGATGTGAGCAATGTATCCGAAGTCAGATTCCTCAATGATTACCGCAGGTGCACAATTACTCAGTTATAGTTCGACATATTATACTGGCTCCATGATCCATGCAACATATAAATAAAGCGCTTCACAGTACAAGTATTGCCCTTAAATCAAACTAAGACGAATATTGGTGATAGGAACACTGAAGAATGATCATTGTCATAAGGAAAATGGTGAGTTTGCAGGCAGCAACTGCACACCAGAACTGCACTAACTTCACCATGCATAAATAAATAAATCTAAGCACTGATTAAAGCCGGTGTAGAGTCATCCAATGCCACTAGAAACGTATCCGGTGCGACGCCTATAATAACAACTACAGCTGGTGTAAAGTTATCCAATGCCACTAGAAACGTCTCCGGTGCGACTATAATAACAATTGATCTTGCATACATACATTCTATAAACAGCAGTAACCACTAGACAGAATATGCACCAAAATAGCAAATTGACAAGGAAAGGCATCTCACCTGCACGGGGTGAAGTTCCTGGTCGGAGACATGTGGCGGACGCCGTCGGTGTAGCAACCCCGCGCACCAGCCATTCTGGCTTCAACGAGGGCTCACCTCGGTCCATGCCAGCTGGCACCACTCACCATCTACACTTCCCAGCAGCAGGATCCAGTCCGGCACAACAATGACACGACCACCAATGTCCTCCACTCCTCGCCAATCACTGAAGGCGGTTACAGCACACGATTCAACGGTGCATCCGCACCCAGCCTCAACTCGGGGCGGAGCAGAGACCACCAAACCCTAGCCCCCGCACCAAACCCTAACTCTCTCGCAGTACAATCTATCTCAGACACACATGCTCAAAAAATAATAAAAATGACTGCTCAGGGGGGCAAAAATCGCTCCCGTCCTCTCGTAGCTATCGGTATCACGCCGCCGCGACACAATTGATCGACCAGGAAGCGGCCGCCCGGGACAGGGCGCCTCGGCGGGCCACCAGCGAGTCAGCGACGACTCTGTGTACGGCGCGCTAGATTTCTCGATGGGCCTCGTCGGAAATCTGCGGAAGGCGGCGGCGCTGGAGGGTTGGAAAATTTCGAGGGGATTCGTCGGGATTCGCGGGATTGGGGAAGCTCTTGGGAGGGGATTTGGAGCGCCGATTTTCCGAGAGGATTTATCTTTCTCGGAATTTTTTGTGGGTTCCGTGGGCGTGGGGAGTGTGTGGGTTTGTGTGGTGTGCTTGTTCGTCTGGGCAGGAGGGAGAGAAACCCTATGCAAAATGTGACTTTCACCGCCCTCCTCGCACCTTCCCTGTCCCGGATGACGGTTGATTTCCTATCTGGCTTCCTCGCCGTCTTTTTCCTTTTCTTTTACACACAGAATGGCCTGGTTACATAACATGTTTCACTGCTATCTCTTTTTTTTCTATAAAACTTTCGATCTATTCATCAACTATCATGATAGTACAAAAAAACACCAGAAGTAAAAATTACATCCAGGTCCGTAAACCACCTAGCGACGACTACAAGCACCGGAGCGAGCCGAAGGCGCGCCGCTGTCATCGCCCCTCTCTCATAGGAGCCGGGTGAACATTGTTGTAGTAGATAGCCGGGAAGTCATCGTGCTAAGGTCCCTAAGACCAGCGCATCAGAACAACAACCGTCGCCCGATGAAGAGAAGCGTAGATCAGAAGAATCTAAGGTGCAGACATACGGACGTAGACGAACAAACACCGGATCCCACGATATCCACCGAAGTGAAAATGCGTTATATCGACTAGAGGGGGGGTGAATAGGCGATTTTTATGAAAGTCTTCAGAACATGGGAGTTTTGAAGACAAACGATAAAAAATGAACCTATTACCATGCAGCGGAAGATAGACTACACTAGGCAAACCATAGTCAAGTATTCAATAAAGTGAAAGCATAAAGACTAATAGCAGCTAGGTAGTAAGGATCAGGTAGGAAGATATTGTGAAGTCAAACAGAACACGCAGTCACTCAATGAAGACAAATGATAGAGCAAACATACAATGACTTCACAAGGGGTAACAGTAAGTAATGTGAAGTGAAGATGAAACCAGTGACTCGTTGAAGACAAAGATTTGTTGAACTAGTTCCAGTTGCTGTGACAACTGTACGTCTGGTTGGAGCGGCTAGGTATTTAAACCTTAGGACACACAGTCCCGGACACCCAGTCCTGAACACGCAGCTCAGGACACCCAGTCCTCACCGTATTTTCCTTGAGCTAAGGTCACATAGACCTCGCCCAATCACTCTAAGTAAGTCTTCAAGGTAGACTCCCAAACCTTCACAGACTTCGTTCACTGGCAATCCACAATGTCTCTTGGAAGCTCAGAACGTGACGCCTAACCGGCTGGAGGATGCACAGTCCTCAAGTGTAATAAGTCTTCAGATCACACAGACAAGAAGACTTAAGTGATGCCCAATTCTCTCTGGCTCTGGTGGTTAGGGCTTTTATCCTCGCAAGAAATTCTCTCTCAAAGGCTTCGAGGTGGGTTGCTCTCAAACGACAAAAGCCATACTCTCAATCTGAGCAGCCAACCGTTTATGGTTGTAGGGGGTGGGCTATTTATAGCCACTTGGCAACCCGACCTGATTTGTCCGAAATGACCCTGGGTCACTAAGGAACTGACACGTGTTCCAACGGTCAGATTTCAAACTCACACGGCAACTTTACTTGGGCTACAAGCAAAGCTGACTTGTCCGACTCTGGACAAAATTCGCTCTCATAGTCTTCACTCGAAGACATAGATTTTTGGTTTAGGCATCACTTCAGTCATTCTGACTGGTTCTCTTGGACCCCACTTATCAGTACGGTGGTTCCTATGACTCAACAAAAAGAAAAAGACCTACGAAAGATCTAAGTCTTCGAGCTCCATAGGCTTCATATCGTGTCTTCTCTTGTCATAGTCTTCATATCGTGTCTTCTCTTGTCATAGTCTTCAATGTGAATATCTTCATATACCACCTTTGACTTCAATGTCTTCATACATTTTTAGGGGTCATCTCTTATAGTAAAACCAAATCATGAGGGACTTCTACCTGTGTTATCCTGCAATTCTCACAAACACATTAGTCCCTCAACTAGGTTTGTCGTCAATACTCCAAAACCAACTAGGGGTGGCACTAGATGCACTTACAATCTCCCCCTTTTTGGTGATTGATGACAAACTAGTTGAAATTTTCAACGGGGAATATAATCTGTGAAATTGTAAAGGATAGAGAATTGTCTTCATAAGTTGCAAGGGCTCCCCCTGAAGATGTGCATATAAGTTAATTTGCTTTTGAAATGCAAATGTACATGGCAGGTGGTATTTGTGGAGATCCACTTCAACTTATGATGACAATCCACTATGCATGTGAAAGTATATGAAGATAATGACATGCATAATGGAAAATGGACGTCTACAGAATGAGCTAAGTGCGGAATTTATCGTCGCACATGCGGAATTTATCTTCGCAAAACAAGGTGGCAAATAAGTAGCAGACGACCATCTGGTTTAAGTGTTACAATTCATAAGAACCAAATGTAGCAAAAACGAGAGTTGTAAGCATGAAGCGAAATATAAAGCACCCGACCATATGGACCCGCTTGAAGACTATCAATCTCATATGCTTCTCCCCCTTTTGTCAGTAATGACCAAAAAGGTTTGAAGACATAGAGCCTCTACTCGTTCCCATGAGGAGTAGGTGAAGTAGCAGGGGTGTTGGTGTTGTTTGGCGGTGCAGAAGAGCTTGGAGGTGCTGAAGGAGGTGGCGGTGAAGTAGCATCGTCTTCTTCCTTAATAATTCTGGCAGTGACTGTGACAGCAGAGGAAGAGAACTCAGAGTCTTCAAGGGATAGAGTTCCTAGCAGCACAGCCCTTCGAGGAGGTGTGGAGTCAAACTTGAATCTCTCAGAGAAGCCATCCTCTTGAAGATCAGCTTCAGAACACATCATCGTGAGCCCTTTCCATGTGCGGCGACAGGTTTCATGGGCAACGAAAGCATTCTTGGTGGCAAGATTTCGAGTGCGAATAACATCCACCCAGAGGCTTTTCATCTGACGCTTCAGCCAGTCATGATGCCTATCCTGTTTCTGATGTAGAGCCACAAGAAGCTCTCGATCGTTGAGAACACAAGTGCGCTTCTTGGGTCTTGGAGCAGTGGCACTGTCAGTGGCTTCAGTGGAAGCAGGGTGTGGTGCACGTGTAGTGCCAGCCAAAGGATACACCCGAGAAACTGCTTCAACGCCTTCAATGTTCTGTGTAAAACTCTGATGTTTTGCATTCTGAAGACTTAGAGGTTGCTTGGCAGGCTCAGAATATATGGCTTCAGTAGACATGTCCACGTCAGGCAAGAAGATTCGATGGTTGCGGGCTGAGGGCTGATAAGAGATGGCGGAGTATAGCTTGATCAGCTGCATGACCCAAGGGGCGTAGAACTTCAAACCAAACAGATCAATGCCTAATGCAGCAAGTTGGCGTATGAAGAAGTCATGTGCATTGAAGCATTTGCCATGAAGTATATAGAAGACCAAAGTCTTCATTGCACCCTGAAGCTTGGCATTTGGAGAGTGCCCTTTGATAGGCCAGAGAGTTCGCCTGATGATGTGATAGATGGTTCTGGGCAGGTACTCAAGATCTTCAACGAAGAACTCTGTGGGATACGCAGCATCTCGGGGCAATGGCTTCATCATGCTGAGCATTTGACTCATATCAGGTTCTGGCCGCTGAAAGATGCTCTCAATAGCTTCAGCATGCAGCTGACAGCCTTGCTCAAAGAGATCGCCAGGAGTGGGCAAGCCAGTGAGCTCAATGATGTCAAATGCATTGGCTTCGTGATGAACGTTGCCAGTCATCCACTCCAGGACCCAAGTCTTCGGATCTCTGCTGTACCCTTTGATGTGAAGTGTGTCATAGAATTGTAGCAGCAGCTCTTCATTCCAATGTTCTTCATCAGTAACAAACTGCAGCAGACCCACTTGCTTGAAGCAATCCAACGCTTCTTCTAGACAGGGCAGACCAGCTATAGCTTCAACGTCAAGGCGCTTGTGTGGGAAGATGCGACCTTGGTTGTAAAGAATGCAAGAGTAATAGCTTCGCTAAGGATAGTTCCAGAACCGATCAGATGATATCCTTTCCCTTGAGTAGGGGTTCCTGGAGCTATTGAAGAACGTGTTGTCTGCCCTGAAGCCATTGATGTTGAAGGAGCCAGGTGCTGATGTAGGACCTGAAAACCTTGGCAGTCTTGGGATTGGCTTCTGGACCTGAGGCCTGTGCTCAACATGATAGTTGAATTGGGGACCGGCAGCAGACTCAGGAACAGAAGTGGCGGGATCAGTGGCTTCGCTGTCTTCTGAAGCTTTTGCTGGGGAGGGCTCCACATTAGCTTCGTTGTTGGTTGTGGCAGCCTCAAGATTTTCATCCTCCACTTGACTAGCTGGAGGGTCGGTCATAGGCACGTTCTCCTGGAGAACTGCTTCTTGGTGGAGCAGGGGAGTGGGATCTTGTGGTACTTCTTCTTCTGCGGCTGATGCAGCCGGAATGTCTTCAGCAGAGACTTGAGGCCTTGGACCTTTGCGAAGC